TTCTGTGGACAACCTAAGTGTGGCATCAGAAAGTCAAGAGTTCCTGTGTAGCACCTTAATGATATTTCCTCTTTCTGAAGACTCAGTAATTGTACTTGATCTTAATCTTACAGTTGCTTTGAGAGTCTCAAATACTAGCTAACAGTATATTTCTAGTAATATGTGCATGGAGAACATATATACCTTAATACTAAGAAAGTGTTTATCTGCTTTCTGTGCATTGCTATCTAAAATGAAAGTCAAATTTTGCAAGACTGTTAGACTTGCACACACCTGTCTGCTATCTAAAATGCATCCTGACAGAAATAGGTGTTTAGAGTTCTTTTAGAGTGCATTTTGTCCGTGGGCTTTTTTCAGAAGTAAAAGGAAAACTATATAGCTGTGTGTCAGAATCTCCATTATTGTGCTGGAATGGTAAAGATTAAATAGCACTGATACCATTCTGTGTCGTGCAGCAATATCAAACACAGCCCTTTCATGGATTTCTTCATCTACAAAATAGATCTTTTTAAGTATATAGTGAAAAGTCGTATTTCAGCATGAAACTGAGATCCATGCTTCATATGCTATAATACACGACAGGACAATCTTTCTGCAACCGGGCTTCGAGGGGACAAAAAATCTGGAGCCAGACATTTGTGTGATACGTGAGCTAATCACGAGTGTGCAAACTTTCACAAGGTACAACCAAGGATTTAATCCTTTCTAAAGAGAATAAATAAGGCATTGTTCTTTTTTAACAGGCAGTTGTTCATTTTGATATTGAATTACGTTTATTCTTTCTAGGAAAGGAATTTCCACCATGTACAATTGAGGTTTTCCAAATAATGGAAAAAGTAGATTATCCCAGGAATAAGAATGATGAAGTTATTGGTATTATTCACCCTAGACTGCAGGTAAATTCTAGAATAGTTTCCATTTTTGACTTCTTAAAAGTATTCTTGTATTGCTTCTGCTACATTGTAGTATATTTTACTAGTAAATATTTAAACTGACAATACTGCCAGTGGGTTTATTGAATACTTTAGACCTTCCCTATGGTAAGTTCTATCACTGAGGTCACGCAGTATTATTTCAGTAACTGCCTTGGGAATCACTGAATCTAAAAATCACTGTTGAACTTAAAACTGAAAAGAAAAAGCCAGTAGGATGTCTTCTATACTAAAATGGAAATCTAATTTTGAATTCTAAAATGAGGGTCTGCTTTTAATCAGTTGTGAGCATATGTAGTTTCCTTTTAGTTCGCCTTTACCAGTGAATTCTATACAAGCCTGAAAACGGGGCCAGAAACACGAGATCACATACTTAAGTTTAAAAGGAATTTTTTTTAAAGCTTTCGCCATAAACCTCAGAGATTGTAATTATTGAGCAGAAACTCAGAAATCACATGACCTATAAAAAACCTTGAAAGTAAATATATTCTGTTTTCTTTCTCTCAGGATCAAGACTGGCAGCCGCTGAACAACGGTGATCCTCTGTTTTTGACTCTTGATGGAGAAGTCATTGCATATAAAGGAGACTGTACAGTCTATCCAACATTTATTAATGAAGCTGCATACTATGAAAAGAAACAAGCTTTTGTAAAAACAGTAAAAAAGAAACTCACTGCAAAACACATCAGATCCTCAGTCTTAGACCAGAACACTTCTTAAAAGCTTATTACAGATTTTCCATACAAAAACTGGATTTCTTCTCTGTGAAATCCAGTGTCGTTTGGAAGTAATTAATGGAATAATTAAATGCAGAATCTAATTTTCAATTGTACTTTTATTAACATTGCTGAGCACTTTCAAGATGACACATACTGTCATGTTAATTACGACTGTTTACTTGTTCTAATAGATTACTCTTGATGCAAAGAATAAATATTATTTTTATGAATTTTGTCAGCTCACACTATATGAAATTATTAAACCATGTACCACGTATGGGTTAGTTGCTATAAAACTTTTATATCCAGTGTCACAACGATGCTCATCCACAAAACTACATTATATAAAAAAAATTACAGCATTTCTACTTTATAACCCTAAATCTCCAACACATTAAAATGGAGTGATCCATGAAACTAATTCTTTGGAAAACCATACAAAATATGAGACAGAGGAAAAGCTAGCAGGAGAGAAACAGAGAGAGGGTATGTATGTTAAAACTCTTTTGTATTATCTGCATATGACACTAATGTGTACTGCACTGCAGTGGAAGCCTTAGGGTTGGTTTTGTTTTTACACTTACGAAGATACAAATAAGCTAAAAACATACGGTTTCTGAGAAAAATACACTAAAATGAAATGCAAAGCTTTTTAAATTTGAAGTATTACAAGATTAATTCAAGCTGTTTCTGATTTAACATTAATTTAAAGACAGATATTTTAATTTAGAAAGTATCTAGTAGTCAGACAAATACTGGAGCAATACTTGGCTTCAGGACACAGATGTGCTTGTCCTGTGGAACCTTCTGAAGAAAATTTGCAATGGAGAAGTTTATAGCTTTATAACTTTCTATGTGTATCCACCTACTGCTTATACCATTTTCCAAATTAGTCAACTGTTGTACTCCAAAAGTTTTCAGTGAAGAAGGCAAGATTAGGCAATTACTCAGGCCTTGATGAAGAGCAATGCACAAATCATACCTGAGTATTTCGGAATGGAAATCAAGAAGAATTCCATATGGGGAGACCTCAGAATTTTGAGCCTGACTTGTTCTGTATTTGCAGAGAGAAAGTCTGTCATAGTAGCTGAAAAAGAGAACAAAAGGTGAATTCAATTTTCTAAGGTTTTTTCCAACATTTGACAATAATTTGGGTCCAAGAAAACATTGAGAACTTTCTGTAAGGATAAGTGATGTCTTCCTTATTCACTACTGAGCCAAAATCCTTTCTTCCTTACTTTGTGTAACTTCTATGGCAATAAAATAAACACACAGGACAGAAAGTTTATTGAATTGCAAGTTTTATTTCTTTATATTTAAATAAATACTGTATAAAAAGTACAGAATTATCTGCTCTAGTCATTATTCATAGTGTTCGTGATAAGAACCTTGAGATAGGAGATAGTTTGTGCGATCCGGCACAGCTCTGTGGCCACACAAGGAGGTAATTTTGTTAGCAAAGAACTTATACAGACAACCCCTCAGCCTCTTCCTCGGTTTTATCAGTTTTGTACCTGGACATTCCTTACATTTTTTTGTGTATTCCCTGTTTCAAGGCTACACCTACAGTGTGACCTCAGAACAGCGCAGATAACTGAACTTGTTTTCAGTCTACCCGTAGCAACAGGTAGTGCAGCGCAGACTGATCCATTCTGGTTCCTGAGTATATGTGCAGAGGTATTTTTTCGTTGTTGTTCAAAAACTGGCAGTCCAAAGGATCCAAATGGAACTGCATAGTCCTAAGACAATATTCTTCCTTGGCACTTTCAGTGCAAAATTAACCAGCAAAGGTGAAAGATTCCAAGACCGCAGGATATTTTTTCTTAGACTCACATACTCTGCTAAGGCCAAACAATGCTCAGAGATTACGTTGGTCTGTTGATACGCATAAATGTCCTTCCCCTCAAATTCCTATAAGTGTAACAAGATTTCAATTTGATCCCGTCCATCCAGGCCAGACATGGTAAGAAACACAGGATGTGGCATCCATAAGAGACCGTCTGGGTAGCGAGAGCCACGTTCACCATCCCTGCAAAGAGTTTTACACTGTCCTTTCCGCTGGAGAGTTCCTGCGTGCTCTCTTCTGTGATAAGAAAGTCTTTTGGAGCATTTTGCCCACAGTAGGCTTAGCTGTAAGAATCCAATGCAATTCATATTACCATTCAAATGCAGAACAGAATTCACCTGAGTCTTTCCTAAATAGCACCTTTAAAACAGGCACCAAATGAATAGATACAATGAAAACCTATGACACTGAAGGCACCTAACGTATTAATTGAAATTTAAAAGTACATGGAACAAATATTTCTTGTTATATATACATCTATAAAATTGAAAACTAAAAATATAATCCATAGTACTACATCATCACAGGTAGTGAAATAAAAAGTGTTACAGAAATGCATTACATAGTCCTCTGAATAATTTTGTTTAAAAAGCAGCTTTAAAAGCCTGCAGTTGCATTGCATTTAACTTATTTTGTTAATTCTGGAAAGAAATACTGACTTCTTATTTTCCTGAAGTGGTTGAATATAGAAATGAATTTACTTTTAAACTCAAAGAACTTCTGACCTGGTGACTTTTTTTATGTAGCAAGATACGACAGCATGGAAAAGCTGAAGGAGAAAAGTAAAGACCTTGTCACTCAGAAATATTCCCCACCATGAATTATGTTTCTGCCCTATCATTTTATAGGAAGGCATATATACAAAGTAATAAATAAAAAGCAATAAACGCTACATTGTACCCTAGGGATTACACAGGAAGACAGATCAGGCGAAGCTAAGGAGACCTGAAGAGGCTTTTTCCAACTTGCAGGACTCAAGCCTCCAGTAACACTGACAGCCAATACAAAAGCTTCAAAGGTATCCAGAACAGCGTTATTTCGAAATAACATACTTCATTTAGTAGTCTTCAGAATTGAAATGCCTTTCTTTTCTCCACAAGAACGTAACCTTTTTCAGTGTACAAAATGTCTCTCGTGAGCTAGAGATTCCAAAACAAAAGCCAGCAGCCTGGGATCATGATGATCTTAATTTTCCACAAAAGGAAGAAAAATTTGACCTTTTTTATCCAGTAAAAGTCTGGAGCCAAGTTTGAGCAGTGTCATGCAAATTTGGACAGCACTGGTTTTCAAAAGGCTCAAAATTGAACCGGTGAAATAGTAATTTTTTTAATTTAACCTTTTTTTAGCTTAGCTGTCCTGATAAAATGGGTTAAGTCATCAGACCATGTCACTGAAAGTTTGTGCTCCAGCTGGCTACAGCTGTCCGAAATATCAACCAAGCTTTCAGCATCCACTGCTGATGCTTTTAACCTTCAGAACAACCACATATGAAGTGCAGCACAACTAAACAGAAGTTTCAGGCAAATCATCCATTTCTTCAACTGTATTCAGGGTGTTTTTGCTATTAGTTCTTGAATTATCTTGAACTTTGCTTGGATCTGCAAAAGAATGCATTATAAACAAAACAGGATATGGTAGAAACTGTATATGCAAGATCAAAGTTTTGCAGGTCTGTTTTTTGTTAAAAAACCATGCATTTATTTAAACAGCAAGTTGTCAGTTTACTACCATATCTTACACAGAAATCTTTTGTCTGCCCCTTTCCATTATTACTGAGATTGCTCAGCATTTACATTGCTGAGGAGATTGACTGAAGAACAAACTCGAGTTTGTTTCCCAGATCCTCATATGCCCCTATCATAACCTCTGACGCCGGCTGCCAGAGGGACATCTGACTCCTCCAAGTCAGGACCGTTCTCCATTACACTCCCCACACTGTCAGCAGATGGGTATCTTGAATTTCCTGGTCAACATTCACAGGGGATAGTTTGTCATTCAATATATTTTGCAAACATGAACGTTCTAGGGTGAAAACCAGCAGACTATAGCATTGTCAGGTAGAATCAGACCATTTTCTTGCCAAATAATGTAATACCATAAGTAACTATTTAAGAACTAAATGTACTTCATTGTAACTTTTGCAAAATAGTATTTTCTATTTGGTAAAAAGTTCTCCAGCCTTATACCACTCAAATGCTGTAAGAGAAGGTAAAGCTTAGATAAAGCATAACTACTTAGAGAAATGTGGTTGAACATCTAGACAGTTCATATTCTTAAAGGTATAAAACTATATCAAAGCATTTCTGAGAAAGAAAAATTCACAAAGATGGTGGTGTAAAATTTGGCAGTACCTGTTGGCCCTGGATCTTCATTAATAAATGAAACGTGTGTTTTCCACTCAGTCCATTTCACTTCATTAATCCTGTTTATATTGTATATAAGATGTGTTATTAGCTTGCATTATCTCCCAGCTGCATACCTGCACTTCCTCTTTTATTTCTCTGTTGCCTCTTGGGATCATCATACTTTACCATCAACACCTGCTTTGCTACTACTGAAAAGTCAAGTGTCTTTTGCAGTTATGTACTATAAGAAGATGAGAATAAAACAAAGACTGCTTTATAATTTCACACAGTATGAGTATAGTCTTGAAACTCCTTAAATACTTAAATATTTTGCATAAAACAGCATAGTAATATTTTCTTTAATATTGTAATCATCAACTATCAATTTAAATGTAATTACTTTTAAGTTAATATTCCAAGGAGATTATAACAATCTTTACTGCAAGCAGACTGGATGCTTGTCCATTAAAAACATATGAAGTTGAAAATTTGTTTCCTTACCAAAAAATTGTCTACATAAACTCTATAGATTTTCATTTTTTAAAAAAATTGTTACAATGAAAACAACAAATTGGATTTTTGTACACGTAATGTGATTTGTAGAGTTGTAGAAATACTCTAAAGAGGCTTCTGAGGAGAAATAACCTTGAATGAACCTAGAGAGTAGAACTGATAGCACAGTATTCTAGCTTTGCTTTACCTTAAACACACCCTCATGTCATTTTCAGCCACTTTACACCGTTCTCCCAGTCGGAATTTTTTCCTCAAATGTTTTGGTAAGAACTTTTCAAATTCCAAAATAGTTCTGGCTCTCTGTTAACAATAAATAGTAACATAAGTACAGTTAACCATATACAAAATGGTCTGATTTCCTAGCACATGCAGGCTCCATGTTTCATTATAACATGTCACACCTCCGTCCACCATCCGTAACAAACACCGATTCCAACTATAGTAATTAACACAACATGCCACTTATTAATTGGCATGCATAAATAGGGAGTTCACAGCTTTCTCTAGTTAACCCCACTGCAGAAGGCATACTCAAGATTCAAGAAATCTCACTCTAGACATTCAGGGTTTAATGCTAACACCTGCATGCCTCAGGGATCTATATAACTGTAGTGGGATGCTGCCCACCACAGAAAGCAACTCCAAGCCCTAATGATGACTGTTCTTCATGACAGCTTGGGACTCAGAGCTGTCTGGCCATGGTAAATACCAGGCTCAGATAAGGTATGGGAAATGGCAATGGACTCACGCATTGCTCAAACTCAAGGGGTGGAATAGCAGAGCATGCTGTGTTACAGATGTTGGGGCAGATAACAAAACACACCCTCTCAGTGACATATCAAGGGGAACGAAAGTCATAGAAGTATGTGACAGTGCATGATGTTGAAAATCCAAGCCATAATTTTACCTTTAGGATAGCTGTTAATTCGGAATTTATTACAATACCCTAATACTAAAATTACTTATTTGCATTATTTGTACACATATACAAATGGGAATCATAGATTCCTAGAATATACTGGGTTGGAAGAGACCTTTGAAGATTATCTAGTCCAACCCCCCTGCAGTACGCAGGGACAACGGTACTAGGTAGGATTATTGTTAATGCCTAACTCCTGTCAGCATGACAAGTTACCATAGGTACAGCTCAAAAGATTTTAGCCGATGCATCTAAACGTCACTAAGCAAACTAACTGACAAACAAACCTGGAGTTTCCAGATGTGCTCACTCTCTTTAGAAATATCTTCCACTGTTTCTCCCATTAACGCAATCAGCATGTTCAAGAGAAGAACAAAAGTCAACACAACGTAAGTTATGAGGAGCAGAAGAAATAGCACAGGATACTTTGAATTTTGCTGGATCTCCAGGTCACCCAGTCCTAGGGTGAGCTTAAAAAGATCCATCAGAACAGGCCCCAGATTGCTGTGGGAATGGCATTCACTGCCACCTTGGCAAGTGTCAATCAGTGCAGCGAGAGCTGGGGAGAAAGCACAAGAAAATTTTAATCACAATAATGATTTGTGTATTTGTGGCATTGCATCCTAAAGAGTTCAAAACGCACTGCTTAATAAAGAGCTAGAGCTGCCCAACAACACACACAGCAGCAGCGAGATGACAGATGACCAGGAAGCAGACAGAGCCCACGTCCAAATGAAATTGCAGGCAATGGAGCAAGAGCCAAATTACTTATCTGTTCAGATAGTCTCTAGACAGTTTAAATGTCTAAACTTGGCTTTTAATATCCAGAAGAAACCCCAACATGAGCTCTCATCATGACAATAGGGTTCTTATTCATAATAATGCTAAAATTTTTACTCACACAGAGCATCAGTGCTTTTCTCCAGTAATATTTACCTACGCCAAATCCCAGCAAAAACACGATATAGACAACTAAAAATTTTATCACATCTTGCAGGATGACCTAAAAATGAAATTAAATATTTGTCAAAAATGAGAACTGGGAGCTAGTTTTAGACTTATGAATTCTGCAGGGATACAGATGTGGTACACACTTAATATCAGCAGTTGGAAGGGACCTCGAAAGATCATCCAGCCCAAGCCCCCTGTGGGAGCAGGATCACCTAGACCAGGTGATGTTTCAATTAAACAAACTGCTTGTAGTCTCAGTGAGAAACCCAGAGAAGATTTAGGTCTGGACTTTTGTATCTCATGACCGAGAGCCTGGTGTGTTGTGTACTTCCAAGGGTGAATAACTCTGTACAATGTAGGCCTTGTAGCATATGATGCAATTAAATAGCAGAACTACATTAGCTGAAAAAAACAAGTTACATATTTAATATAATGAAATGTTAATTTTAAGATATAAACTAGTTTCTACCATTGAAGTTATATATTGTATTCTGCTGAAATATGTATAAACTGAAAATAGGAAATTTCAGTATGAACTATAAAATAGATCAAAATTGCTGATATGCTTGATTGGGATTGTATGATAACAAGTAAGCATCACAAGACAGGTAAAACAAAACAAAAGAAACTTGCCTTTTGAATCATAACACTGTAAATGCCCATGGACTGGAAACCTCTGGTGAAATAGAGCATATTAGCCCATCCTAGGGCCATTGCCAAAACAAGACACACAAGGTGTTCTTTGTAGGAAAACAAGTACAAAAAGACAGAGAAGATGACAAGCGAAGCTTGTATAAAACTGTCAAAAAATAAACACATATGTAAAAGGGAAATTACTAGCACAAAGCAAACAAAACAGAAAAATTTTAAAATAAGACTTAATTGCTTCTTATGCTTCAAATCTCATTTTATATTGCATTCTGTTTTCCCCTATGAACATTACCATTTTAGTTTAACAATAAAATAGATGAGTGGGGGTAATATAAGTATACTAGCAGATTAGGATTATATTTATTAAAGTAAACTTTAAAGTGGACTTCTCTCCCCAGAACAGCTGGTCAATGCAGAATTTGTTGACAAAGACGTTAAGGATTCTTAATGGTGTCTTTGAAACCATTTAATTCAAGCTTCAGCTTAGTGAATTGTTGGAATCATTACAGATTTTTCATGACCAAAGAAGACTTTAGTGGAAGGTGTGATGTGCTGTGACAGGATCTAGACCAGATTCTCAAGAGATTATACAAGATTTATACCAGGGTGGTTATAGGAGGAGGAGGAAGAAAGGCAAAGTTAAGCCACTTCTCTTCTTGTTGCTCCTACAATCAGATGCTAGAAATAAAGGGGAATCTTCTGTGCTTATCTAGGCCAGCTGATGGGATACTCCCACTGTCCAGCTGAACCAGCTTTATGCTGTTTTTCCTTCCTGAAGGAGTCAAGAGGAGTGCAAAAATATATCTGGTTTATTAACCAGGTCTCTTAAATGCATTTCTCTATGTACAGCTCTAAAGAGACACAGCATCAGGAGAAGCTAAAGACAGCATTGTACTCTGGGAAAATAATCCAGTCCGTACACATCAACTCCCACTATTTTTACTGACCCTCACCACCATTAGGGTGTCTTACAGAAAAGCTGCATGCAAGATTATATCCATCCCTCTAAAACCTGATAATCTAAAGAAAAAGTGAGCATCTGCTACTGGAGTACATTCTCTGCGACCATGAGATAGATAAGCATTTTTATATGGTATAAAATACATGCATGACAGACTTACAATGCAAAGTGGAACCACGCATCGGAGAGAATTGAATGCAGGTCTAATGAGGGCCTAAGCAGAAAGATGGCTACACTCTGTGTGAACACATATATAAAATACAGAAATGGTAGTAAGAGAAAGCAGGCCTCAATTCATTTTTCAAAAGAATTAATTGAAGTTGGTCTCCTAAAAAATCAGTCTTCTGATAAGACATAACTTCCAGAATTAAAAATTTTTAAAGAGCTGCAACTTCAATGTTTTTTGGCTTTTTTTTCCATTCCAAATTCTAATTCAAGTGTCCCTAAAGCCAGTAACTTGACAATATAAATGCTATACAAATATCAAATATCTGTCTTGAGAATTTGAAAGGAAAAGACCCTCATACTTGTTTCACAGAACAATACAGTTACATTCAAAGACATATCCAGGGTCATTCTGAATAACTGATGCATTGTGCCAAATACTTTTAGACACTACCCATATCAAAGGTATCCCAAACATATTGCCAAGGTCCTCATCAGCTTATTCATAAATCTAGAGAAGTTCTTCACCTATTTTGTTATGTATTTGTTATTAAAAAGTCTTACCTCTTTTATGGCTACAAATATTGCTCCTAACATAACCATCACCTGTCCTGATAACTGCAGCCATCCCACACCACGTGTCAGAGCTAATGGGTAAGGTGGAGCCTGGAAAAAAGGTCCAAAATGGAAAACTGAGTTCCATACCTGAATGGTAAAAGGCAAAGTAACAGGAAGCCTCCTGTATGTAACTTCTAGGTACCCAGTTCCTTCCCTTTCATGCAGAGCTTTCTTCATGGTGGATTTACAGACTTGGCCCCCTAACATGGATATTTGTAATATCAGAAGTTTCTTTCTTAAAAGAAAAACAAAATGCCCTCCCCACACTTTTAGAAATTTAACTACCTGTCTTTGTATTATGTATTTGTATTTTGGGTCACCAAATCCAAATCTCTATTATTGCCACTTTTCTTTCCAGATACAAAGACCTGATGTGGGAGAACCTGGTCTCACTACAGCCAGATATTCTGATATCTGGCTTTGGTTTAGCATTTTAAATACTACTCAGGAAATAATACTGCATTTTGAATGAGTAAATTTGGTGAGAGTAAGTTGCTGTACTCACTTCATTTTCATTAGGCCTATGGTAGGAAACTAACGTTAATGTTATATTGTATAGGAAATAAAAACAGCATGACATAAAAAACATGTGTCGTGCAAACTTCTTCCATTTCATTCGCAGGAGTGAATTCAGAGGCTCCAAAGTCAGCATCTCATGACGATTCTGTAAAAAAAACCCAACAAACCCAAACAATTAAGATTCAAACTTGTTATCTGTAAGGAAACTGAGATAATTTCAGGCATGTATTTTGTGTACTTCATTCAGTGTCTGTCCCTGCTGATCTAGAAACACATCTATGCTCAAAGACACATGTCAGGCCCTAACCTGACAAAATACAATGAGACAACTCAGGCTCATGCTGGGGTAACCCGCCATGCTCCAGTGAAGTGTCATTGAGCTAAAACTGTGATGTCAACTTCTGGTTTTGCTTCCTGGGGAAGTTTTAGGGCAGAGCATTCTCATAAGACATTTCTGTTTGCTTGTCCTGTTCTCATGCACTGTCTTGGGCAGCTGCTAGTGGTTACTCCATGGAGACAAGGCACTAGCTTTGGTCTGATCACAGCTGGGCTGTATTTACATTCCTATGCAAGGCAAATTAATGCTTCAAATGTAGGAGAAAAACCAGTCCCAAACTGCCTAGCCAATGTTTCAGGAGCTGAGTGCATATTCACTTGCAGCTGACAATCTGCAGAGGTATAACATTCATCTCACTCCTAATACCAAACTAAGAATGAAAAATTACCATTGACTCTTTTGCAAGTGATTCAGTCAAATGTATATGCTAACACATCTGAAATGAGCATGCTGCTAGAAAATAGATACATATTTTAGAAATAGGTAACTTACACCAATATTGGTGTTATAGACAATAATTTCCAGTACTGAATTGCGTGCGGTGGTATCTAGCTCTGTCAGATCATAAAGTGAAGATTGAACAGGACCATAAGCCCAATCCGTGAATTTTCTTGACAGGCTTCTGTTAGGCTTATCTCTTATCTCTCTGCTCAGGATGTATTTCAGAATCTAAAACATTAACAGAGTCATTGTAAGCAGATGTGTTCTTCATGGGAAAGGAGAAAGCACATATACATACTTGCCAAAACACCTGCTGCATTAGTGCCATTCCATGTATTTCTAATTCTGTTACTCAATAAGCAGTGTTGGAAATGACAGACCTCTAGGAAATCAATACAGTGTTTTTAATGCCTCTGGATTTTCTGTCAGAAACATATTACTGATGATGAAAGCACAATTTTCCAGGCATTCACATTTATATCTTCCTTTAACGTAATCAATTACTTTCTAAATTATCCCACTGTCAATTCTTTACCACAATACAGCTGATTTATGAAAGCCAAATTCTACAGCAGCATAACAGAGCAGTTCTAGTGAGTTTCCTGAAATGATTCAACTACTCTATATTGTATAAGAGTAGTATTGTAATAAACAGAATTTCTGAGTTTCTGTTCAACAGAAGGGTTTGCAAGGCTGTTTTTAAACAGCATGTGTATTTTATATAGAGAGGGTTTGTTACAGGGAAACCTTGAAGGATGGAAGCAACATTGGAATAGAAATACTTGCTTGTATTTTTAACAAAATCATCTCACCAAATACTACTGATACATAGCACAGCATAACCAGCATGGAAAACTACATGTCTGAGCACATAGTTGGCCTTGACTCTTTCTCCATACTTAATTTCTCTTAGATGATACTGAAATAATACCCACCTCTAATTTCCCAGTTTTTGCAGCTAATTGTAGCGGTGTTAAACCATCCCTATTCTTTGTTGTTTCCAAGTTTCTGTCTTTACTTTTCAACAAAATCATATCATACATTCTGATTACAAAGTCATTCTGGGTTTTTAAGTCCTCTGCCACAGTAACTAATGCATGGAGGATATTGTTTCCTCTGGAATCCTGAGAAGCAATATCAGTCCTGATATTGTCCATTAACAGTTGAATTATGTCTGGTTGATTGGTACATGCAGCTAGCGCCAGTGCAGTTTCACCTACAAAATTATAAAATATAACATATGTTCATGTTTTATGACAAGCATTCAAATAATATCATAACAGAGTGACTGTGGTAAGCATCTTAATATGTGAAATCACATTTGCATATTGATTATTGAATTTAGCTCTTGTTTTGTAAGAGCTTAATTTGCATGAAAACATTATTTGGAGATCATCTTCAAAATCAAATTTGTTACATTTTATTTGCCATTAAGCACTTACAAATTGTTTTACAACTATTTCTGTGTGTTCATAATACATTGCACTCTGGCAAGTTACTTTTACAAAAGGCATTATGCCATTTTTCTATCTTGTGATGTGAGTTTCCTAATCTGGGTTTAGTCACGGTAATGATTCACACATGTCTGTCTTTCATACTGCCTTAATTGTTTGGTTATTCTTCCCTAACTTTTCCAGGGAGATTGCACTTCCACTTACCAAAATAAAAGCCTTCATGCTTATGTTTGGGATTAAAGAAAATACCCTGGGCGTGAGCATTGACATCGGCTCCTTTTTCTATAAGGCTCTGCGTTATTTCATATTGTCTTCTTTCAATGGCAATATTTAAAGCTGTTTGGCCTGAAACAACAGACGCAGGTCTTTAGCATTTAATCTCTTAAACACATTAGGAAACAAGGATGTTTCACAATGAGTAACACCAGTGATAATGAAGAAAAGTTGGTTAAGGAATTTCAACCATCATTAGAATGTTTGAAGAAAACATTACTTCTATGGATGGCATATTTAAACATATACCTGAAATTGATATCACATGGTTATACCTTTATATGCCTCTTCTGTGTATGCTGCGTTGATAAATCTCTCCAAAATACCATTTTCTTCTGCAAAGGATAGTAGCATATTCACTATCTCATTTGTGTTTGGGTTGATGTTCAGCAGAGCTTTCATCAGACAGGTTTTGCCAGTATCTGCAGCTGTGAATTTTTTCATCAGATAATCTACAAGAGTGAATTTTGAGATTAGATCATAATTCTAATATTTTGTTTATCGGGGTGGAATCTGAGGGATATGTATGAACATAAACTATTTGCCAATCAATTACTCCATCCTAGTCACTTTGTATTTGAGCTATGTATGTTGGGTAAAACGACGCATTCAGAGATGTGATACTAATTAATGTGGTAGCAAATGCCTTAGTTTCTTGTTTGGATGTACGACTGCCATGGTAACTCCAGACAATCCAGAACCCTTCCTTAACTTCTCTGCCTGTTCTACCATGCTGCACACATCACAAGCCCTTTCTATGCTGCAATTTGACTGCAGTTTGAAGATAGACACCAGCTTTCAGCCTTTTGCTGCAGAAGGCTAGCTTAGATATGGCTACAGGAATGCAGTGCAGAGACTCTCCACGTATCATAAACAGGAGACAAATACTCTCCAGTGTTGTTTCGGAGGCAGCAAGGAGGTGGTTTATTGAATACCTTAAGCTTGCCTTACACATGCAAGTAGCCATTGCACAGAGATATTTCCCAGTTTTAGACTACACATACACTGCCAGAAGAGCAAACAATCTTCCTTCAGGTAACTCCACAGCTCACCTGGCACAGTCATTCTTGTACACACGTTTGATCTTTCCTTCAGCTCGCTGAGCAGACGTTGCAATTCTTCTATATTACCCTCAGATACCGCCTGAAAGATGTATTTTTTCAACTTCTTCCGAGCACTGGTCTGCTCAGGCCCTTGTGATATGTTAGCACTGAATTATAAGAAATAATATTGAAACCGCTGATTCAATTTACTGTGTTTTAAGAAGGAAAAAGAAATACAGTTACTTGCCCTGCTTCCATACATATCTTGGCACGGATCTCAAAAAGTTTCTGCAGATTTCTTATTTACAGATAAGTGTCTATTGGCAGGGGGTTTGTAATAAAAATGTACATTTTCCAAGTGATTTTTGTCTTGCATTTTCCCCCAGTTTGTCTATTCTTTTAAAACAAAGGCTAAGAAATACTCCTCTTTCTCTGATCTGTCCACAACTCCCTGACTTCAGTGCCTGAAGTCCCCTGATGCTACACTCCAGCTCCATCCATCTCACTCAGAAAAGAAGTTAATTTTTAATATCACATCTTCTTACACAACTTCCCTGATCATACATTATCCTGGAATAAGAATTATCCAATATTTTCCCACAATCAGAAATACTCCTAGTTCATGCCTAGTTGTGAATGGTGTTTAGGTCCTGTGTTGTGATCTAGGAAACAGACATCATACATGAAGAATCCTTGCACTAAATAAGAGATTTGACAAAACCAGAGGTTAGAGTTTTTTATTTCAGAATTTAATTATTGAACAATCAGAAGTGCATGCACACACATGAACTTATTTCTAAAACATGGTAGGCAAAATAGATAATATCTACCATATCATAGACTTAATCCATTGAAAACACACTAAGAAATACTTCATGTCTCCACTCACCAACAGCTGTCTACATTAGGGCTATATTCAGTCGCATCATCCTGAAGAGACTGGGGGGAATCCATATCTTCCCCATTTCCAGATGCACTATAGAAAACAAACATGAAGTGCCAAGTAAGGAAGATACTAGAAGACACTTTAGAAAACGGCATCAGTTATACTGTTAGGAAGCAGCATCTACAGTAAAGCTGAAATTAGTCTAATCTGACATTGTGCTTTTCAATTCTATCATTTTCTCTCCCCTGTGAATTTTAAAGTGAGTCATAAGAAAGAAGAAACCCACAGTGGTTTTTTTATTTGTAAAAAAGAAATCATTAGGAAAGTAGCCTGTGTTGTGCTTTACTATGTTGTTTCATTACAGATCCTGAAACTGTGGGAAGTTTTGGGGTTTTAAACGTTTTTTTTTAATGGTCACTGCTTTATCATCCTGAATGGTTGAAGCTTACATTCTTCCTTCTCATGTTTAATTTGTCATCTACTACAAAACAAGTGCTAAATCAGTAACGGTACATCGGTTGCAAGCACACAATGAAAGTGATTTACCTAAAGATTTACTACACAATACACTGTAAGCAACTCAAGAACATTTTGCAGCTGGCTTGAATGGATGATTCAGCTAAAAGAAATTGAGGCCCTAAATACATATTTATTTAATAAATGTAAAGGATTTAAATGGCATTGATGTTTTGTAATTGTTGTATATAATTTCCAGACATTCCTAAAAGCAGATCTGACTTAAAGATTAATTTATTATGATTTTTCCTTACTTGTATTTTTTGTTTTCTGAAAGGTTCAGATTTTATTAATTACCTCAGGTTAATAATTTAGGAAGCCTGAACTACTCGCTATTGACAAAACAGATGTAAGGACAGTAATGCAAGGACTTAGAATTGCTCTGCAGATATTCCCTTCCCTTTGTAATACAGCTGGTAGCTCCAAGTCCATTCTTATTCAGCCCATCACTTCTCTGCAGAAAACAGTGAGGAATCTGGTGACAAAGCGTATGTGTGCCTTGTGCAGGTCTGTCCCTGAATGAGAGGGAGAAATTTGGATACCTCTCCTCTGAAACCAAAATAAGACTGCCAGCTAATTCCAAAAAGCTGACCATCAGATGCAAAAACATTTGGCCTTTCTGGGCTCATGCTAGATTCCATGCATGTTTCCCATATTCATAATTAGTGGCTGTTAGTATCCCAAACATTTTTTAAAATTAAGTGCATTGTCCCCAGTCATAATTTTTCTCTATTCATTCAGCATAAATGTCTGCCTTTAAATACTGCAGTCTCTGCATCTTCATGTTGTTTGATTGTTAGTGAGCAATAGAGGGAGGATGTCAGCACACAGCTGGGAGTAAGGTTTGCTAAATTAAGCTGTGGTCTTCACACAGGAGAAAATAGTTTGTCCTAACATATAACAAATAAGAGGCCAATATAAAGCAAACAAAAAAAGACTGTACTGATTTTAAATTTATTCAAATCTGAGGCCTGATTTATTCAGTGTAAATGCCAGCAGTAGATAAGTCAGAGACAAGTCATCTAGCAATAACTGACCTCCAATGGAGTTCTGCCTTTGAAGTGACCTAAAGCTAAGGAAAGCCACATGAAAAGTTAGCTCTGAAGTCTAAGGAGAAACAAGGAGTAGCTGCTGAAAAGAAAATAGATATCACTATTGCATATGCATCTGTAACTTACCATGGACGAATATTTGAATCCATTGGTTTTGAAAACACAGGAGGAGATGTATTATTTGGAGTTGCATTGCTTTCAAAACCATCGATCTCCAGAAAAAAGTGTGAGCTGTTAAATACAGTGCATTTAAAAAATGTTAGTAAAAAAAGTAAGCTCAACCATAAAATAAGCAAAGCACTACATGTACGTGCCTGAGACAAGGTTGACAATTTACATTTTCTGGCATCATACCTAATAGGACGCTGGAACAGAGGTTTGTCTGCTTTCCCCTGGGGGGATCCCAACCTCCAACACCGTGCCCAGCACGTTCCTGCTGGCAGATGGGCAAAAGATCCTGAGATATTTTTAGGACGCATGGTATCAGATCCTGACATGTCTAAGAAGCTACCCCAACAGCCTAAAAACAGCCTTGCATCCAACTTCCGTGCAAATACAGACATTTACTGAACAGCCCTACATGTATGTATATGCACACACATGCATATGATTTTAATTTACTGCATTCTAGTTCCTATTTCTCCAGACAGGAACCATCAGAACAGATAATTTCAAACCCATCAGCAGTGATAATCATTAAGTCAAAAAGTTTGAAAGGTCATATATTGAATGACATCAGGCATTTCCACCATCCAGGACTGAATGTGTAATCTTGCAAGTCAGTGCATGACACAACTATTTCTTTTCCCTATTTATAGGGAAAATAAATGAAATCTCAAACAACACAGAAAAGGGACCATGAGACTAATAAGAAGATTTCACCCTTTAAAATCCTGAAGAATTGAGAGGCAAAAATCAATGGCTTGGTAATTACAGATCTCATTAAAACATCGCTGCATTTCACCAATGACAGAGGAGTTTCAGTGGTGGATGTAGTGACTCCCACACGTCCTGTTGTTCAGAAACTGTCTTACATTTCTAAAATGAGCCAGTAGTCGCCTGGAAAATGTTTCCAATTCACCTAATATTTACAGCTTAATCTGTAGGATATTCTCTCTTTTGACAACCTCACCCCAAAGAATCCTGTTGAATTAAAGTACACATACTGCTGCTGAAATGCAATCATTATTAGGACACTACTGAACAATCTGTTGATATCTGCTAAAAATAGCATGATCTAATGGCCCTACTTCATCTCATTTTCCAATGGCTTGGTGAGCCAAGTGTTAATTCCCTGTGTGTGCTGTTTAAACGTGTATGACCTTTTAACATCTGAGATGTGCCTGTGAATGTATTCGAAGCAGGCAGCAAGTAAAATGGCACTCCTGGTTAGCAGGACAGCATCCCTGAAGTTACTTAGGCAAGGGGTGCTTTTCAGAGTACAGGAAAAACCCAGACTGAAGCAAGACCATTGCCATCACTTCTGTCGTACTCACCAGATTCATGGCTGCTGTAAATCACTGTGGTTTCACTGGGGTCTGCACTTGGCAGAGAGACTAAAACCATGGGTTCATCCTGCCTTTATGCATTCACCTGACCGTGATGTGCAGGAGCTGTCCCAACAGGCATACAGCTGTTGGAGGTCACAGTGAACCTCCAGAAAGCCAGAAGAGCCATGCTCTAGGCTTTGCTGGACCATCTCACCTGCCTTTGGCTCAGGAGCAGCGAGTTCACGCTGAAGATTTTGGCATCCAAGAGATGTACAGCAGCTATGAGGCGGACCCTGGTTTGGAGACTGACATACCTCACCTAGCCTGGCATGTGGGTTATCTGGGGATATCACGGGAGGGAAAAAGCCCACAAAACACAAAAGCCACCATGCAGAGCAGGTGGACAATTGCCTACAAATACCTGAGTGCTTACGTGGCCATGGTGCACACACTCGGGAACACTGCCCACAAGCATAATCAGTCTCTGACAACGTTGGCAGCACTCCTCCCAGCCTGCCTGTTGGTTTTCCTGTACTTAATTATACACTGTTAGTCCACCCAAATACCAGGGCCTTCAAGAAAGGGAAGTCATTTTCTTTTCAGAAAGCGCATATTGCCAAAACATTCTGTCAAGTGAGAAATGCCACTCATGGAGGTGCACTAGCTGCTTAGTGGCACAGTAGAAGGAAGCATTTTGAAGCAACAGAAGTACAGCAGCATAGAAACATATAATTAACAGAACATGTTAAACCTCTGCATTAAAACTCACATGATAGTCATTCCTTATATTACAGGAATGTTGCCAGCCACACCCTGAGCTTTTGGTTGAGAGGTGGGAAAAACCCCAAGGTTACTGTTACTGGTGCCACAAAACTGAATGGGAGATACGAGCTCAAGTAATTGCAGGGTAGTGTTTGCCAGTATTTGCTATAACTACACATTTTTTCATGGAGTTGCCCCTTTTTCAAGTACTAGGTGTATTGTGAGCTGTTCGGACACTTCGTCTCCCCTGTATACTACCAAGGAGCTTCTCTTGTTTAATTTAAAGACAGAAGGACAAATTGGGCCACCCAGGCAGTGGGTCTCAAATAACTAATGACACCGTTTCTGTGGAAAGTGACTCCTCCGATTATAAAGAATTATAAATGCCAAGACAGCCACAATTGCTTAGGACTTAGAGTTTCAAAAATTGCCATAATAGCTAGTAATTAGCCAGAGTGAAAAGCTTATGAATGAAAATTCATCCTCACTCTACAGTAACTTAGTTGACTTCAATAGCATAGTATCAGGGATGAATTACTGCTTATATTTCCCCATTCATATGAAATACAAGCCCTTAATCCTTGTATTAATTCTCTAGTATAAATTATGAATGAAAGTGGTTCTCTTATAAAATAAAATAATGAAATCTTGTTAATCAGAATAATGAAAAATCGAGTGAATTCAAGTTTCTCTTTGTGAAGGGATTTTTCAAACCTCCTGCTCTCCCAGTCTTCATTTTTCGATTCACCTCTGCTCTCCATAATCTGTCACATTCCCATCAGAGGCTAAGTCTGAAATGCTCCCTTTTTTCAGACCAGCAACTCTTACACAAAACCTGATGTACCCTGCCACATGATCTCTTGAAAAAGAGACCTACCTTCTCGTATTGAAACATTGACCAGCATTAGACCACATTCTGGTAAGATTATACAGGTATACAGAGTAGATGCAGAAAGCCCAGCTGCTACTGGTGCATGAGCCTGATGTCTCTAGGTTAGGGGTTAAATATTTGTCCCATTAGGTTAAACGCATCATATGTTTACTTAACCAGGATACTCTTCCACTTCTACACAGCATAAGCATATGTTTATTGGAAGGCACCTTGTGTTCATCAGGTCTCTCATTCATATATACAGCATGAATAAAAATGTTAGCGATATTTCAGAGCAAATATCTCCTAAAGGAGATAAACCAGGGAGTTTTAGTGTTCTAGACTGAACTAAAGTCCTACCTTTTCTTTGTGGGAGTGCTTTCAGATGGCTTTTTCTCTTGCTGGTTTGAAGGGGGAGTACCAGACGGATTTGTTTTCTTGCCCATTAGTGGAATAATTTCGTTGTTATCTTTAATCATGTTTCTGCGATAGATAGATTCACAGTTACTTAACTCCTGTTCATTTGAAGAAAGTATAGCGACCAAATTGCCTATTTACAGTCTCTTCATGTGTAAGCATACAAACATTGTTATTTTTTCAAAGTTTTTCATTTTTCTATTATTAAGCCCATAAATGCCATTTTATGTGTCAAGGTTGGAGGGTTATGTTCATGACTGATTAAATTACATTCTAAGAAAAATGCCATTAAAAGTGATACCATAAATCCAGGAGAACCATAAGTTCAGTCATGTGGCTAAATTAAACTGAAGGGAGTCTGTCAATCACAATGACAGCAGATGTTATTTAGAAGAACAAAAAGAGCATAATGACTTTTCTAAGTAGCCTTAAAGTTTGTGCATATTGACAGTTAATCTAAGTAGTCTGCTCTTATCCAAGATAACTCCAGAAAAGTGGTAAATTCTAGGAAGATCTGTGCAACAGATACAACGTGTGAAGGAAGGAAGGCGTCAGATGTGAAGGGTAGTGAACCTGGATAAAGCCCTGAAACTTTTCACTGCATTAGAATATCAGAAGCAACAGACTCTGAATAGGATGCCCAGGCTGAGCTCAGCTAAACCATCACAGGGATAACATCAAGACCTTCTGTGTCCTGGTGACAGTTTTCAACATTTCTTCAAAGAAAAAAAAATCATGCCTTCACTACATGGGAACTCTCACCACCACATGAGGAGCATCTTAAAGCACGTTATCTGCTTATGAACACCTACAACATGAATTTTGCAAGTAATAATGAATAACCATCTTCCTGTTTCTCAATATAATACTCAAGGGCATAATTTTAAATCACCAAGGGTAATTTGAAAGTGAGAAGGTGAATTTAGGATACTTTAAAATTCACTGAATGTAATAATAGTTTTATGACACCATGGACACATTCCCAAGCAAATCAGGGGAATGCCCTCCATACCTGAGGACAACTGATAAAAATCACTTCTCTGCAACTTTGAACTACACATTTTTCCTTTCCTACCTCCACTTTCCCAAATGTGACAAAGGTACAAACTTTCTGCTCCTGTCACAGTGTTGTCAATGTGCCTTAGCTTCAGAATTTCCTCATTACGGGAATATCAAGATATAGAAAGCAGATGGTGAGGCATGTTTGAAAAGACATGACACCTGGTATGAGAGAGGAGACGGGCATATCAAATACATTGATATTTGAATGAAAATCTATTAACGCATAAATGGCAAATGCTTAAGTATGGGAAATTTTCAATCCCAAGAACAGACAACTGAAAATTTACAAGGCCCAAATACATGTAAGTGCAGCTGTACCCTCTTGTCATTAAATGAAACAGAAAAGAAATCTGAACTGTTGGAGAGTACTCCTTTCTTCAAAAAGGTTGGCTTAAACAGACATGAAAATGAATTTTTGCTGTGTTTTCTAGCATTGGTAGACAAGTTCACACTAGTGCAACTCAGAAATATGCCTAGTTTGGTTGCATTTCCTAAGAATTCATATCACAACTTTCATAGAAATAATTTAAAGGGCAAATATTATTTACTTAGTACACTTGCATACAAAGTACATTGTAGCTTTCACTGCAGGAAGTTCATAAAATAACTGAACTTGGATATTACGTATTTGAGGTAGGAAAAAGGGGTTCGTCTATGCCTTTGAAAATGCAACTAATGTAGTCTTCTGACACATGTTGTGTCAGTGAATACACTGATAAACATTTAATCTTAACACAGCTAGAACAAATTACTGTGGTCTTGCTTAGTTCATAAATAATTCTGTTTACCTCTTACCAAGTACTTTAAGAATACGTAGCAGTTTATGAGCAAAGACATTTCCCATCCGGAGGAAAAGGCAGATCTGATACTTGACATAAATCAAACGTAAGGGGACTAGAATAAGATGGAGATGGACATTAGTGTCACAAAAGAAGTTATTTTAAAGGAAGAGAATAGTTGGAAATAGAATAGAAGGTCAAAAAATGCATCAGCAAACGGAGCTGGCAAGGTGAGAGGGGCATAGTTGGTAGGTGTGTGAAGCTGGAGGGGTCAGAAAGAGTGGTAGGAAGAGCTGGGGAAATAAAGACCAAGGTTAAAAATCTCTAAAACACACCATGGACACAGAGAAGAGCCTCTCATTTGTGAGCAATGCTGGAGCTACTCAGATATGGCAACACATTTCTGCATGGGGAGCAAGTCAAAGCCCCATCTGCAGTTCTCACCAGAGATTTTAGCAATTACTTGAGAGCAGGCGACATCATTTAGGAGAGGTGAAAATAGTCAAAGATAGCATTGAAGTTGTATTGGATGAGGAAGGACTACTGAACCATCAGTGAGCTAAGGAAACAATTTGGGAAGGACAAAGAGGAAAGACTCACTTTTGTATGCATGGACTACAGCTTTCCAGAGCACATAGAAGATTTGACTGTGTAGTCTCAGCTACAAAAACTATTTTAAATCAGATCTGAGAGTCTGCACAAGTAAATAACTTGCAGGCACAGTGGCAGAAATATCTTGCTACAGTGCTGAGGTAGCGTCTGCTTCTCATTTTTAATCACAATTAATTGCATGCTTACATGGAAACTAAGCCAGGGCTTTTGCAGTGTGGCCTAGGGAGCTCACCTCTTCTAGCTATAGCTGTGCAAATCTCATGGGAGTTAATGGAGCTTTATTTTCGTTATCAGCTTCTTTCCTCACTCTGTCTTGCTACTTTAATGACCAACTGTTTTCATCATCTTCCTGTGCACTACCATTTTCTGTAATGTATGACATATAGAGGAAAATAGCGCAACAGTCTGAAGAATGTCAAATCATAAGTAGCGCAGCTTACGCAACCTGATACGGAGTGTCTTCTTTTGTTGTAACTATTTTCTGCTCCCATTATCTAGTTAATTATTACTTACAGGCCATCCAAGAAGTGGCCTATTTGAAGTGGGCAGTGAGACAAAAATACTCCATTGATTTATAGTATTAAGAATTCCTTTGAAGGGGATTTTGAGGACATTGAAAACTTAGTATCTCACCTCCAGCGTGCTGGGGATAAGAAAAGGGTGTTCATTTATGATGGTGAATGGGACTATGCCATTCCTACAGTAAGTGGCACTTTATACACTATCACAGACTCATCTTGTGTTTATCTGAACACAAGAAAAATCGTGCATATCGTTATAGCTCAGTAACACTATAAACAAAGTGGCTGAAGAAAGAATCCTACTAATCAAAAGAAACACTCAGCTGTGATACCACGGGATGAAAGCCTTCTCTTCTTCCTTAGAGGCAGAGGAGTAGAAGTGACTACCAATAACTTTCATTCACAGGATCCTTTGAATACCCCAGCACAGACCATGATGCTTTCCAGCACCTACAACCGCATTCTTAACAGCTCATTAAAAAAAATACCCTCCCCAAGGGGAAGGTGATAAAACTTAATTTTGACTTTTGTGCATTATTTATGGTATATGAATCCTATCAGCAGAAAGTTACACTTGATAGAGTTCAGTCTTTCTGTAAGGTTTTGAAAGCTTTGAGGGGCATTTGTAGACATCAGGTGCTATCAAAAAGTAATTTTCTTCTTCCTGAGAAATTTGTTCTTTCCTATGAAGGTTTCTCCTGACAGAAATTTTAGAAGACTCTGAAAAGCAATGTTTTTTCCTGAGGAAAAGACTTTAAAATTATTTATCTGCCTATCTCCAAATTGAATAAAAATAAGAAATTTTACTGAGCTGAAATAAAAACTATTTTACTAGGCTGGGTATTTTACTTTTGACAGTCACTACACTAACTAAAACTTTCAGTGGAAAATGAAGATATTATTTAGATTTATCTTGTATGACAGTATTTTTTGGATCCCCTTAGCACAGAAATTAGGAAGCGTATCAGGCTGACAAATACAAATGAAATGAGGTCTATCTTTCTTCACTTCGGATTGCCCAAGGAATCAGCGTGGCATGGCTCAGGAGAAAGATTTCTAAATTAGAAAAACCAAAACAACCACAACAGAAAAGCATTCTTCAGTTGAAAGATAGGTTTAGTCTTTGTCTCTTGAAGATTTCACTCTCTACAAAAGCATCACAGCTACACTGAACACCCACAGAAGCTCCCAGAGAACTTACCCTGCTTACGAAACATGCATTTTGGTACAGTGAAGGCGCCTCAGAATTGTACGAATGAAGTTCAAAGTAGGGGCCCGCTGATGCCACGACATCCAAAGAAGCCAGCCTGCCAAATGAGTAAAACGATATTCAACCTCAAAACTCTCTTAAAAATGCTAGAACACCCTTCTTCAGTCATCCGGTTTGCTCGGCTGTCAGGAAGCACAGATAAGTACAGCGCCGGAGTACTGCAGCCTCACAGGGTTTGCTACATCTGAAATTAGGGAGCAGGGAGAAACTTGCTAGACAACAAACTCTTTACTTCATAGCTGCCAAAGTGGGATGACACACACACGCAATAATTATATACTGAAATATTACTAAAGCTGAGTCGCTCACAGGTGACTTAATGGCAGCAGGAGAATATCTAAAATGATCACTGCTCTGCAGTTTACATACTGTTTTCAAAGGAAAATGGTTATGCACATGCGTTTGAGTTGTAAATGACATCCCTTTATGTCATGCTCAGCTTATTATATATGATGGAACTACTGAGAAAGCACAAAGCAAAAATGAGAAAACAATCATGCTAAGTGCTCCAGAAAGCAAAAAGTTTTGCTACTGTTTTGAAAAAGTAGAAATGACCTCCGAAAATCTTACGCTTTCACAGTGATAATGTGAGTGAAAACACGGTGGGCATGTTTAGGGGTTTCCCTATCTAATATAATAGTTTTTGATGAAAGTGTACCCTTAGGGTCTGCGAGGCTACAGACAGACATGTTTCATGTAAACAGTAGTGGTGTTACTTCTTGCTGCGCCAGCTACAGGGAATGGCGTTCTTCAGCTTTGCTAGTTCTGAGCTGTCGAGTTCATGCAGACTTTTGTTTTGGGACATGCCAGAAGAGTGA